GTGGGGTAAGACAAGGTTGGGTAGTAGCTAGGGAGGGGGGGGAGGAGGGAGGTGAGCAGGAGAGGAAGAAGGGTCATTATGAATTTTTGTATTGTAATGCAGGGAAGTCGAACATTTTTTTTAGGTTGGATTTTTGTCGGAAAACTTTTGTTCCCAGCGGCAGTGGTCGGATCAACGTTTGCAATAAAAGGAAATTTGAGGAAATCTGTAAGTTGCCTCGGGAAAGACCCGGGAAAATACATAAAAGTTCTTGAATACTTGAAAGCCAAATCCGATGTCCTTAGGTTCATTTTGTAGGTTGTGAACATTCAGCTTTTCCCGGTCTGAGAGTACGTTTCATGCGAACAGGCGGCTATGGAGACTATGGCGGCAAGCGGAAGTGTATGAGTGATACCAAGGCTCGATTGGGAAAATCTAGATATGTTTTCGCTTTCACTACCACCCTGGGGGGGGGAGTTAAAGGCAACACAAGGGGATAAAATCTGAACTTGGTAGCAAATTTTAGCATTATCATTTAGAATTTTGATTGCAACGAGAGCTTTCTGCATAGCACATGTTGGTGCAAGCCTTGTGTGGAATCGAGATCCGTCATACCTTGTAAGCCTTGTTATTAAACTAAAGGGTTGGCATGTCATTGGATGGTGATGGTCGAGGTGAGCTAGTAAGCTCAATGATATTTATATAGAGAGAGTAGAGAGTTATAATAATTATATACTAAGTTGGTTGGTAAAAGTGACGGCATCTAGATTCTTGATCTATGACCTTGAAAAAACTCAGCAAGATAGTCTTTGAAGAGGAGAAGATTGACAGCACTTGGATTACTGAAACCCAGGCTAGAGTCGGACTTATTTTTCTTGTGATTTTTGTGACTATATGTGTAGACTATATTTAGATAGAGAGATCTAGACTAGATCCAGTACCATGGGAAAGTACTACTTCATCAACACCGAGTGATTGTCCAAACCCTAAATATTCAGAATGATTGATGGAGTATCAAAATGATAAAAGCAAGTTTAGATGTTAGTTTTGTTCCCAAGTGTATGTCATCGGTCATTCAGGTGTAAAGGATTTGAACTTTCACATGGTACCTCAAAAACACATGAAAACCCTAACCAGCCAGTGTGGTGCCAAATCTATTCTTAAGGTTACCAAGAACAGAACAAGTGTTGTGAGAGATACTGAAAGGAAGGAGCACCAACAGTAATATAATAGTAATCTACTAGAGCAGTTGTTGACATGAGTTTTCTCATTTATGAGATGTTTTCAGACTCTAAAATAGCAGCGTTTTCAGTGTAATCTCACAAAACTTGGCTACCTTGGAACATTGAGATTGCAGCGGTGATCAAGTCCGCTATCCTAAGATGTGAACCAAATAACCCCTTCTACGTGATTCTCTTTGACGAGAGCCTTAACATTGACAATGGTGAGAAACAACTTGACCTATAGTGGTAGGATTTTTTGTGTGGTTTGGTTGGATTTTTAGGACGAATATTTCCCTGGCCACCCTGAAGTGTGTGGTCTGTATCTGTGTATCCTTTTTATACATGGTAGTGATATTTTTTGTTTTGTTTTCAGAATGGCACTTTATATTTATGCGGAAGCGTCCTTGAATTTGTTAAGTGCAAACATTATGGTGGACATGATTTTCTCGCCGGTTGCCTTTGTTATATTAAGTTTATGTTTTACTGCACTCGCAACACAAATAGGTAAAAGAAATGCAGAAGATTAGGGGTGTTACTAGAGAGTAACATACAAATTAAAGAAGGAGGAGAAATAACGACAATAATTGTTTGATTTTAAAAAATTAGCAAACTGCACCTCACGCACCCACCAACCACCCGTGATTTGGGTGTAAACCAATGCTTTATCTTACGTATTTCTGTGATATCTGCGACAGTTTGACATGAGCGTCCAGGAGTCGGGGGCGCAACAGATGAAGGCAGCGGCGGACTCGCTGGAGAACTTGCCGATCTTCAAGAATGACGAGGAGAGAGAAGCTTTTGAGGCCTGTGTGGACGTAGATTTATCCTCTCAGGTAACGGATTACTCAACATTTGTTTTAAACTACGATAAGAAAAATGTGTATTTGTCAAGATTTGGTGTTTCATCACACTCACTCAAACATGCATACGCCCATACATGTGCTCACACTGGTACACACACATTCTTTCTTCCACATATGTCTGGACACATAATGACATGCTTGCACTCACTGACAAACCCGCAGTCACACGCATTATATATGTTGTCAACTAATCAACCAATGAAGGAAAGGGGGGAAGAGTGTTTAGGAGACTGTTACATGGAATAGATTTATTATCTACTTATGTTGTCAACTTATAAGGCTTTGGGGGG